CCAGGTCCCAGCCTCTAACCTTACTTGAATCGACCTAATTACAAACAAACACTGACACACTGGAAGTTTACAAAAAAATTGCACAATTCTGTATTCCTTACTCTTCATTTAGTGCACATCTGCGGCTTGTCAGGGCGCCGTGCTTCCTCAGGGTTTCAGTAAGCTCCACATACAGTCTGTCAGCAAATTGCAAAGGGATTCCTTCCCACACCAGGATTAGGACGATAACCACTGCTGTGTCACAGGAATGGCCAGCTCGCTCCCGCACCAAGCACAGCAACTTCTCTTCAACACAGCTTCGTCGAATCACCTGGAGTCGGTGATTTAAAAAAAAAACAGATGTGAAAATTCATCCCTCTACCTACTCAGACTTTCATTTCAGCTCATTACTCAGGAACAGGAGTACAGGAATAGTTCATTCAGCCCCTCAAACCTATTTCCCCATTCCGTTACATCATGGTTGATTTATATCTTAACTCCAACTACTTATCTTTATTTCAACATCTAACCATAGGCTTCAATTATCACTCCATTGCTTTTTTTCCTGAATTGGACACAATTTCAAATCAAATACGTAATAGCTAAAAGCTGGGGGAGTGGTGGGTGTTTTAAGGAATCGGGAAGTGCTGCAGATTGGAAAATTTTCCTCTATGTTGTGTGAGGATCTGGAATTCCTGAAATGCTGGTGGAAGCAATATTAATGACAACTTTCCAGAAGAAATTGGATGTATACTTGCAAAGGAAGATTTTCAGATCTATGGGGACAGGCAAGAGAGTGGGACAAATCTTTCAAAAAGCTGGAATTGACAGGATAGGCCGAATGGCTTTGTCCTGTGTTATCAATCCGTAGAATCTGATAATTCCCTTTCTATGGTGTATTTAGCTCAGACAAACTTCACAGAACCTCATAAATCAGTAATTATTTCTTTTAAATGGATGCTATTTCAATGACTAAACACTTAATTTCTGTTTTGCATTCAAATGCAGCGATGTTTTATATGAACAATATGCATCCTGATAAAGAATATTATGGGATGTGGGCAGTGAAGATTGAATTTAGACCATAGGGTTATATCAATGCCCATACCAATAGTTTATTTCATTGCAAAGTTTAAACAAGATCAATTTGGATGAACACATCCATACAGCAGCAAAGTTTTGATGGTACACAACAGCCTGGTCATTGACATCAGAACAGATGGGCTACAATGCAGGGATATTACTCCTACACACCAATGACTCAAGTACCTTTGACAGTGCAGCCTTTAAAGTTGATGAATGTAAGCTGCCAGCACATTGCAGAATCCAAGACCACAGTGAAAATAATCAATAGGCTTGGGCTATTTTGCCTGGTGTCTAGGAGGCATTAGGGGTGATTTTACTGAGGTTTATAAAATCACAAGGAGCATGGATAGGGTGAATAGCCAAAGTCTTTTTTATCAGGGTAGCGGAGTCCAAAACTAAAGGCTATAGGTTTAAGGTGAGAGGGGAAAGATTTAACAGGGACCTAAGAGGCAACTTCTTTCGTGCAGAGGGTGGTGGGTGTATGGAACGAGCTGCCAGAGGAAGTGGTGGAGACTGGTACAATTACAACATTTAAAAGGCATCTGGATAGATACATGAATAGGAAGGGTTTAGAGGGATATGGGATAAATGCTGGCAAATGGGACTGGATTAATTTAGGATATCTGGTCGGCATGGATGAGTTGGACCAAAGGGTCTGTTTCTGTGCTGTACAACTTTATGACTCTATGACCAGAAAGGCAGAACAGCTACACATCCTGAAAGGTGAACGTAAGGACTGTGCTTAAATAACCATCTGAACCAAAAACTTACAACTGCTGGCATTTAAATTTACAGTTATCAGAGCTGGGCAGAGGCTGGATACATTGTGACCTGTGACATTCCTGCAGATCAATTAAAGATACAGCAGTACCTACAAGTCTGGAATAAATGATATATACATCCTGATGGATGCAACTTAAGAAGCTCAACAGAAAGATACAGCAGTTAACTTCATCCACACTCAAACAGCAATCCATGTTATTTCCATGGAAATCTGTCTGTCTGCACATGTGCAGTGGAATGAGAGCTGCTATCTGGTTTCTCCACAAGCTGCTCCACAACAAATAGCTTTGTCAGAATCTCAAATTTGAGATCGATGAAAGTATGAATTGATGTACTTGCAGACTAAACTCCCCAGAAAAAAAAATTGGGATCTGTTCATTCTTGTGTAAGCATGAATGCACCCTATTAACTTTGTGCTAATTAATAATAATGGCTAATTGTTAATAATTGCTAAGCAACCTCTCTGCTTCTGAACATTAGCTTTATATAACCATTTGTTTCTTCAGATATTAGTCATTGTTGGAAAGTTTACAAATAAATACATTCTTAAAAGTGCTTTCCTTTTTGATCCCTCTTTCTCAATGCAATTTCCGCTACCACACCTTTCCCCTTCTCTTTATGCTGCTCTCAATACCTGATTCAACATTCTGGTTCACATTTCCTGCTTCAGACTCTGCACTGCTCATTAAGATGCACAATTTGTTTGCCCCACTCAAGTGTTCTTTAGACATTGCTGCATGTTTTACATAAGAACAGAAGAACTAGGAGCAGGAGTAGCCATCCGGCCCCTCGAGCCTGCCCCACCATTTAATAAGATCATGGCTGAGACTCAGCTCCACTTACCCGCCCGCTCACCATAAACCTTAATTCCTTTACTGTACAAAAATTTATCTAGCCTTGCCTTAAAAACATTCAGCGAGGTAGCTTCAACCACTTCACTGGGCAGGGAATTCCACAGATTCACAACCCTTTGGGTGAAGAAGTTCCTCCTGACCTCAGTCCTACATCTGCTTCCCTTTATTTTGAGGTGATGCCCTCTAGTCCTAGTTTCACCTGCTAGCGGAAACAACCTCCCTGCCTCCACCTTATCTATTCCCTTCATAATCTTATGTTTCTATAAGATCTCCCCTCATTCTTCTGAATTCCAATGAGTATAATCCCAGTCTACTCAGTCTCTCCTCATCATCCAACCCTCTCAACTCTGGAATCAACCAAGTGAATCTCCTCTGCACCCCCTCCAGTGCTAGTATATCTCTTCTCAAGTGAGGAGACCAAAACTGCACACAGTACACCAGGTGTGGCCTCACCAGGATCCTATACAGCTGCAGCATAGCCTCCCTGTTTTTAACTCCATCCCTCCAGCAATGACAGACAAAATTCCATTTGCCTTTTTAATTACCTGCTGCACCTGCAATCCTACTTTTAGCGATTCATGCACAAGGACACTCAAGTCCCTCTGCACAGCAGCGTGCTGCAATTTTTTACCATTTAAAACATAGTCCATTTTGCTGTTATTCCTACCAAAATGGATGACCTCACACTTATCAACATTGTACTCCATCTGCCAGACCTTTGCCCACTCACTTAGACTATCTATATCCCTCTGCAGACTTTCAGTGTCTTCTGCACACTTTGCTGTACCACTCACCTTAGTGTCATCTGCAAATTTTGACACACCACACTTAGTCCCCAACTCCAAATCATCTATGTAAATTGTGAACAATTGCGGTCCCAACACTGATCCCTGAGGCACACCACTAGCCACTGACCGCCAACCAGAAAAACACCCATTTACCATGACTCTTTGCTTTCTACTGGTCAACCAATCCTCTATCCATGCCAATACATTACCTGTAATACCGTGCAACTTTATCTTATGTAGCAGCCTTTGGTGTGGCACCTTGTCAAATGCCTTCTGGAAATCCAGACACACCAAATCCACAGGTTCCCTATTGTCCACCATGCAAGCAATGTCCTCAAAGAATTCCACCAAATTAGTTAAACATGACCTACCCTTCATGAACCCATGCTGGGTGTTCCGAATGGGCGAATTTATATCCAGATGTCTTGCTATTTCTTCCTTTATGATAGATTCAAGCATTTTCCCCACTACCGAAGTTAAGCTAACTGGCCTATAGTTACCTGCTTTTTGCCTACTTCCTTTTGTAAACAGTGGCGTCACATTGGCTGTTTTTCAATCTGCAGGAACCACCCCAGAGTCCAGTGAATTTTGGTAAATAATTACTAGTGCATTTGCTATTTCCCCCATCACCTCTTTTAGTACCCTGGGATGCATTTCATCAGGGCCAGAAGACTTGTCTACCTTTAGCCCCATTAACTTGCCCAGCACTGCCTCCTTAGTGATAAATGATAGTCTCTAGGTCCTCACCTGCTATAACCTTCTTGCCATTAGTTTTCGGCATGTTATTTGTATCTTCCACTGTGAAGACCGACACGAAATAACCGTTTAACGTCTCGGCTATTTCCTCATTCCCAGTTATTAAATTGGCCTTCTTGTCCTCTAAAAGGACCAATGTTTACCTTCACCACTCTTTTACAATTTACATATTTATAGAAACTTTTGCTGCCTGTTTTTATATTCTGAGCTAGTTTACTGTCATAATCTATCTTACTTTCCTTTATAACTTTTTTTGTGGCTTTCTGTTGGCCTTTAAAGATTTCCCAGTCTGCTAGTTTCCCACTACTGTTTGCTTTTTTGTATGTTTTTTTTTCAATCTGATACTTTCCTTTATTTCCTTAGACATCCATGGCTGGCTCTCTCTTTTCCTACAGTTCTTCCTTATCACTGGAATATACTTCTGCTGAGCACTGTGAAAAATTGTTTTGAAAGTCCTCCACTGTTCCTCAATTGACCCACCATAAAGTTTTTGCTCCCATTCTACCTTAGCTAACTCCTTCCTCATTCCTTCATAGTCTCCTTTGTTTAAGCACAGGACATAGGTACTGGATTTAACCTTCTCACGCTCCATCTGTATTTTAAATTCGACCATACTGTGATCGCTCCTTCTGAGACGATCCCTAACTGTGAGATCATTAAATTATTCCTGTCTCATTACACAGGACTAGATCTAGGATAGCTTGCTCTCTCATAGGTTCCATTACATATTGTTCAAGGAAATTATCGCGGATGCATTCTACGAACACCTCCTCAAGGCTGCCATGACCGAACTGGTTTGACCAATCGATACGTAGATTAAAATCCCCCATGATAATTGCTGTACCATTTTTACATGCATTAGCTATTTCTATGTTTATTGCCCGCCCCACCACGATATTATTATTTGGTGGCCTATAGATCATACCTATCAGTGACTTCTTCTCCCTGCTATTCCTAACTTCCACCCAAATGGATTCAGTAGGACCTATATCATCTCTCACTACCGCCCTGATATCATACTTAAAAATCAGAGCAACACCACCTCCCTTACCTTCCTGTCAGTCCTTCCGAACAGTTGGATACCCCTAGATATTTAACTCCCAGTCATGACCATCCTGTAACCATGTCTCTGTAATGGCCACTAAATCATACCCATTTGCCATGATTTGCACCGTCAACTCATCCACCTTGTTTCGAATGCTCCGAGCATTCAGAATAAAGTGCCCTTATGCCAGTTTTTGCACCTTCTTTTTGGATCCTATTACATCCATTACTAACAGCTCTTGAGTTCTCCTTCCCTTTAACTTTTTTCCTAATTTGGATAGTTGACTGACAACAAATTCTAGTCCATCGCCATGCAAAGTCTATGAACAAAGTGCAATTGTAATAAACAGCTACCAGTATTTATTTGCATCTGACCATGCAATACAATCTCATAATTAACAACTGAATACAAAACAGTGGAAGCCGCATTGTCTTGTCACATGTCAAAAGTGTTGGACAAATAAAGTAATTGAAGAACTCACCCATTTTGCAATAGGACATCCTTGACTGCTTTTGCCCTCTTTTCCTGTGTAAATAATTTTCTCTATTCTGATAGCACTGCCTTTCTCACTCAACCTAGGGAAGAAAAGCATTATTCCAAAGATTAACCAAGGTAACCCAATTATAAACATTTTTTATCATTTGATTTCCAGTCTCTTTTGGAAGATAATCGATTCTATCAGCATGAGTCTGGAGTGTACAGATATCTAAACAGCACCGAGTTCTTAGCAGAGTTGAAGTCATTACGACAAAGGGCAGCGGATTGAAGCTCCATGTGTTTCACTATCTTAGAGTTGTTTCAAATACAGTAAATGAAGGGCATAAATAAGTAAACAGAATTGTCCTATTAGAGACACAGCAACCATCTCTTCATGGGATTCAACTCAAAGTGAAGCTTTAGATCCAACATGGTCCAACCTCACATTTTTGATGCCATAGTATTATCGCTCAATATCTGTAGACAGCACTGGAATAAGTACTATCTGATGATCTGGAAGTCTAAAAGCAGAATCTCTTCGGTTAATTAGGAAAAAATAGAGTTGCCACTACATTCCTGAGTGTCTACTGTAGGCCATCGACTAGTGAGAAAGATATCGAGGAGTACATTTGCAAGGCAATTACAGAGAAATGCACATACCCATTGGAGGTGATAACGTGAGTGTTTTGATTATCCATAGGCTCCAGCAGTAATACAGTAAAGCAGCATGAGGGGAAAGTAATTCTGAAGTGAGTGAGAATTTTCTTCAGCAGCCCAACGAGGAAAAAGGCATTGCTGGATCTGATTCTGAGCGATGAGGTGAGCCAAGGGAATTAAGTGTCAGTAGGTGAACACTGGCCATACTGTTATAAGATTTAGGCTAACAATGGAAACAATTAACAATTAATTAGAAGAGGGCCAAATCAAAGAATCTGTACTGGAATTGGAATCAGAATCAATTATTGGTAGACAAAAGTAAAACAGACAACAGGGCACTCCGAAATGGTCCTGGTCCAACAGGATACATTCCTACAAGCGGGAAAACCAGAATAAGCAAAAGCTGGAGCATGCTGGCTGAGGGAAGTCATAGACAGTAAGACAAAAATAATAAAAAAGGAGAGTGTGTGACATTTCAGGTCAATAATACAAGTGAGAGCAAGGCTGAAATTGAAAGATCAGATGGGAAGTGATAAAAGAAATAAAAGGAATAAAGCGAGACATTGAAAAGCTGGGGATCCAAAAGTCTCCCATTCCTAACAAATAGTAAAAGGAGAACTAAATGTGGAAGCAGAGGGCAAGGCTGAGATATTAAATTAGTACTTTAATTCAGTCTTTACCAAGGGTGACGATGTTACCAAAATTATAGTTGAAAATCATACTGAAAAGATAAAAAGGAGATATTAGAGACATGGATGTACTTAGGTTGTTAAGTCACTTGGACTGAATCAGATACATTTGATGATACCAAGCAAAATAAGATTGGAAATTGCAGGATATTGGCCATAATCTTCAAATCCTCCTTCGATACAGGAGTGGTGCCTAGCAATTATAGGGCTAGTCAGATTAACATTGGTGGTACAACCACAATAATCCAGTGCAAAAATCAATAGTAAAGCAAAATATTGTGGCAGCTGGAAATCTGAAATAAGAAGTCAAAATTTTTCCAAAACTCAGCAAGTCAGGCAATATTTATGGAGAGAAATAGAGTTAATGTTTCAAGTCAATGACCTCGCACAAAAACTGAATAAGTGCAAGTGTTTCTAAGTGAGTGAAAGAGAGCATAGGCAGGAAGAACAAAAGAAAAGATCTGCAAAAGGGTGAAGGGCAGGGTAGATAAATAATGAAAGATTTTATGATGTACCAGCCAAAAAGAATGCAAATGTATATAGTGAAGAAACAAAGATTCTGTCCAAATGAGGTGTGAATTGCTACATAAAAAGCCATCTGAATGCACCAAGAAGGGACAAAGAAAGAAACAAGTTGATCAGCCCAATAAAAACAATAGAAAAGCACTCTGCTGCCAAATGGGGTAATTCGCTTACACAAGAAAGGTTTGCCTCTCAACCAGAAATTGCTGATAACAATAATTCTTTGACACATCCAGCCTTCCACTTATCCATTCAAAGGCAAAATGTGAAAGAACGACCAATCACCAGCCAAGTTTACTTGTTCTTGTGTTTCATTATTATTCCATTGACTCATCCAGCTCACAGTAACAGTTCCCATGCCCTTTCCATTCACAACTGGAACATGTAAAGTGAGTCAATCCCTTTTAAAGAGACCTTCAGCTCTTTCCAAGTTAGCTCCTCTCAAAAAAAATGTAAACACTTCAAGCCAAGTAAAAACAAAAGGTGACGGCACAGATTTCACTCAAAAATTAAAGATGGCTAAAAAGGCTTGTGGCTTTGCAGGGATGAAATCTGAGCAGTCAAATTGACTTCCAGTTCCATGCTGTGCATTCAACCAGTAACTGGTCACGCCAAGCACATTTCACACTGACATTCGGAAGCATTCAGCTTTAATGCTGTAGGAAATCCCTCCAGCCAAATTAGCAAGTGCTTCTTTCCCAAAGATATGTGCGCTGCATTTATATAAATGGAATATGGAGGCCCAGAGATTTACTGGGGCTGGAGCTTTGCTTCTCTGTTGTGACAATGCTTCAGAACGTGTCCACTATCAAGATAGTTCCCTAAACCTGGGCAAGGTCCTGAACCTTTACTTTAGCTTTCTGTCATGCAAGAGGTGCTCTGGAAGAGGCTGCAACCCAGGGGAGGAACCTGGAACTGAGCTACAGGGAGCATGGAAGTGTGTGGAGCTCAAGTGTTGGTGGGTCACAAGATTTAGTCGTATCCTGGGATGTTAGAGGAGGGGTAGGCAGCTTGTCAATCCAAGAGGGGGAGTCCAATCACAAGGAGGGGGTGGGGGCCTTTGGACAGAGTCTGATCTTGACAGACTGAGGGTGGTCAATCCTCAGGCATGGAGTGTTTATTTTGGGGGGGGGGGGGGGGGCGGGGGGGGGGGGGGGGTGGGATGCTGTGGAAGGTCCCATCTCTGATCCCAGGGGTGCCTGCTGGTAGAAGTAGCAAAGGTGTCCACTCAGATGAGGAGGTCTGACTGTAGATGGCTGGTAGGTAGGGACGCTTGGTGGGGTAGGAGGAGGAAACATCTCTTGCTCTTCCTGACTGTGAAGCAGTGCTGAAAAAACAATTAATTGTTTTGATGAGGCAGCCTTTACCTCTGCTGAAGTGTCAGATTTTCCTTTAGCGCACTGATAACCAAATACTGCCTGATTCCTCCCCAAGGTCCCTATATTGTTACAGAGATTGAACCCCTCATAATTACAATTGAAACACAAGTCCCTAATCTGTTACAGTGAGAGAGTAGGGGTTCCCTTCTAATAATTAAACCTGAAACACCCAGAGAAGATCACCTCACCTCGCCTAATCTGTTAAACTGTTACAGAGAAGGGGGGGTTAAATGAAAGAAAATCCCCGATATTAACTTTATAAGTAACCAATAACAACTTATTTATTTAACCCTAACAGTGAACAAATTAACAGAACTACTAACAAACTGAACAATTCCCCCTTAACTAGTAGCTATTCCCTAAACTGAACTAAATTCTACTGGTACGCTGTTCCAATAAGCACAAGTCCTACTTATATAAACCCAAGTAATAAGAAAATAAATTAAAACTCAGTCTCTCAAAGTCTACACACTTTTCTCCTGCTGTTCTCAAGTCATAAAAGCCTTTCTTCCACTGATCTGGCTATCAGGGATGTTTTCTCTGTGGAGTCTTCTGTGGGGACTCTTAGCATCTTTTTTGGATAGATAGTGCTTTCTTAGCGAGCTTAGCAATTTTTTTGAGAGTGCTTATTTCTCAGATGGTGGTTGCTGTCACACCAATGTTCAAAAACCCTCTTCTTATATACCTCGGATGATATGTCAATTTTCTTACAATAGCATTGATCCGAGATTGTCAAAACCATCAGATTTAAATTCAGTTGGCTTTCAGTCACTAAGCACTTGGTTTAAATGAATTGCCGATTCCAACTAGTTGCCAAAACATCAAAACATGCTTAAGGTTCCAATCACACAGCCAATTGATATAGATTTCAATTTTAGGACTGGCTGTACCACTTCAGCTGTGTACACACATTTTATGTATATATCTCCAAGTTCAGAAAAGCACTTTACCTCTTAAAGGAGCCACATACTGTTCTCCCTTATCGTTTTTTTAAAAAAAAAAACAAATTCTAGTATCCTGCCTTCCAATTCACGATTACTCAGCACAACTTCATAACGATATGTTAAAAGGATCTAGCAACAGTTTCAAGCAGCTGCCCAGGACTTTGCTCATTTCTCAGTTAGCTTTGCTTTGTATCTCTACAGTTTTTAACCCAAAAGTCTTCAGATAGTAAACGGGGTGGCACAGTAGCTTACTGGTTAGCACTGTTGCCTCACAGAACCAGGGACCCAGGTTCAATTCCAGCCTTAGATGACTGTCTGTGTGGAGTTTGCACATTCTCTCTGTGTCTGTGTTGGGTTTCCTCCCACAGTCCAAAACTGTACAGATTAGATGGATTGGCCATGCTAAATTGTCCCTAGTGTCCAGGGATATGCAGGTTAGATGGATTAGCCATGGGAGGTGCAGGGTTACAGGAATAGGGTGGGGAGGGGGCATTGAGTCTAAGTAGAGGGTCTGAATGGCCTGCTTCAACTCTGTAGGGGACTTCAGTGGTGTTTAGGTTTTTGCCTTCAGAAGTCATGGAACTACAGGACCCTGAGGGAATATTGAATGGTTGTTCCCATTAATTTACACTTATTAAGGCTAATTACAGTTGGTGTTCAGTCAGGCTCATTCACACTCAGCCAGGCTCATTCACACTCAGCCAGTAACCCTAAAACTATTCCTTCCTGTATTCTCCACTCTCAGAATTCAAACAGCCAAATTATTTGAAGTAGCATGATGGCTCAGTGGTTAGTACTGCTATCACTCAGGGCCAATAACCCAGTTTCCATCCTAGCCTTGGGCAACAGTCTGTGTGAAGTTTGCACATTCTCCCTGTGTCTGCGTGGGTTGCCTCCCACAATCCAAAGATTAGGTTAGGTGGATGCTAAATTGCCCTAAAGGATCCATCAGTGTGCAGGGTTACAGGGATAGGGGGAGCAGGATGTTGTTCAGAGGTCGGTATGGGCTGAATGGCCTCTTTCTGCACTATAGGGTTTCTATGAATAAGAAAGAGAAGCCTAAATAGAACTTAGGGATTTTGGCTTCAAAGCTGCATGTTGTAGCCCATATACCTGAGTTAATATGTTTTATCAATTCACAAAATTGTATGTTGCATTAATAAATTTTATTTGTTCATCCACAGGATTTGGTGTTGGAAATTGGTATTAGTATTGGAAAAGCCAGTAATTATTTCCCATCCCTAACAGCTCAATAAGGTCAGGATGAGCTGCCTTCTTAAACTACTGCGGTCCATGTGGGTGTAGATATTCCATCTTGCTGGTAGGGAGGGTTTTCCAGGATCTTGGCTAATGACAGTGAAGGAACATGGGAATAATTCTAGCTTAGATGGGATTTAACAGCTGTTGGTACTGCCCTTGTCCTTCTAGGCAGTAGAAGTCACAGGTTTACCAAATACTGTTGAAGGAACCTCAGAGTTATTTCAGTGCATCGTGTAGAGGGTACATACTGCTGTCACTGTACACTGCTGATGAAGGTAGTAAATGGTTAACATGGTGCCATTTGAGTAGGCTGCTTTGTCCTGGGTAGTGTGGAATTTCTTGGGTGACATTAAGCAGAGAATATTCTGACCTATTCCTGCCTTGTTAGATCAGGGACAAGCTTTGGGAAGCCAGGAAGTGAGTCACTTATCCCAGAATTCCTAGTCACTGATTTACACTTGTAGCTCTGGTAAATAGGTGGCTGGTCCAGTTAAGTTTCTAGTCAATAGTGTCTCCCCCTGAACTCCCTGATATTAATACTAGTGGATGGAGTGGTGGTACCATTGAATATCAAGAGGAGATGGCTTGATGGCTTCTTGTTGGAGATGGTCCTTGTCTAGCAATTTCGTACTTACAACTTGCATACAACTTAGAAACACAAGTAGGCCACTCAGCCCCTCAAAACTGCTCCACCATGCGATAGGATCATGGCTGATCTGATTACCCCACCTTCCCGACCAATAACATTTCAATCCCACACTTCAAGAATCTATCAAATTCTGCCTTTGGAGGATTCAAAGACTCTGCTTCCACAGGCTTTTCATGAGTAGAGTTCCAAAGACTGAAAACATAGGTTTCTTTGAGAAAAGAATTCTCCTTGCCTCCGACTTTAATAGACGATCCTTTATTTTTAAACAGTGACTACTAGTTCTGGATTGTCTCACAAGAATATAAAATATCCTGGAAGCAGGAAGGCTGACGTTTCGGGCCTAGACCCTTCTTCAGAAATGGGGGAGGGGAAGGGGGTTCTGAAATAAATAGGGAGAGAGGGGGAGGCGGATAGAACATGGATAGAGGAGAAGATAGGTGGAGAAGAGACAGACCGGTCAAAGAGGCGGGGATGTGGCCAGTAAAGGTGAGCGTAGGTGGGGAGGTAGGGAGGAGATAGGTCAGTCCAGGGAGGACGGACAGGTCAAGGGGGCGG